CTGAAGGCTTGGACCGTAAACTCAAGAACAGAGTTTACGGTTTCTGAAGGTTGGACCGTAAACTCAAGAACAGAGTTTACGGTTTCTGAAGGTTGGACCGTAAACTCAAGAAAAATGGTTCAGATTGCTGATTTCGAAGAGATAATCGTTTCCAGGCATTCCCAAGTGACTCCAAACGTGGTTTCTCGATGATTTCCGAAGTTTGAAGGCGTTTTGAGTGTTTACGGTTAAGGTTCTTAGAGAGAGAAGGAGAGAGTTTTTGGCCAGAAATGTTCTAATGAAGGTGGAGGCATCGTATTTATAGGGGTGTTGTGGGGAGTCCACTCTTCACTGACCGTAAACAGGTTTACGGTCGTAAACGAGTTTACGTCCGTAAACACGTTTACGGTCGTAATCTCATTTAGACCGCAATTGCTTATTTTTTTGAGATATTCGGGTTACCGCGCGATTTTTGGTTCTAACTCATAAATAATTTAATTAAATATAACTAGATTATTTTCTAAACCAAAAAGTTTGACGGAAAAGTTAACAAATTCGAAATTTAATTAACGAAACTCGCGCAACGGAAACGGACAAAGTTTCGGGTTGTCACACCAACAATAACTTTTATGAAGAGGAACTAGCTATATCAATATTCTAAAACATGTACTTTTAGTAGAAAGAATTATATATAGCAAAATTAGAGCATGAGATACATCCTCATGACGCGGATTTCACCGTTGTCGAGTGGTAACCAGAGTCTCCTGGAGGGAGAGCGGGCATTGTGTGTATAGATCTATACGGGACAGACCATCCCACATCCCGACTGCTAGCTACAGTCCCGGCCGACCAAGCCAAGGGGTGACAAATGTCACATTTATTTCGACGCCAGCAGGTCGTCGTGTTTACATCAGTCAATCAGTATGGTTACGAGTATCTTCACATTTACCTTATAATTCATGGCCTTAAGGTAATTAGTACCCCGATAGTTTCTACATATAAAACTACGGTACTATAATATTTTCCCTAATACATTAAACTTAGAACGTTTTGATATAAAACGATAATGTAAAACTATATTTTGATAATGATAGTAACATTTGGGAAATGCTCTTTAAACAGAAACAGTCGGGTCTTGGTAGAAGAGTGCTTTTAGTAGAGAAACTCTTTCTTTAAACATGAAACAGTCGGGTCTTGGTAGAAGACTGCTTTTAGTAGAGAAACTCTTTCTTTAAACATGAAACAGTCGGGTCTTGGTAGAAGAGTGCTTTAGTAGAGAAACTCTTTCTTTAAACATGAAAGTCGGGTCTTGGTAGAAGACTGCTTTTAGTAGAGAAACTCTTTCTTTAAACATGAAACAGTCGAGTCTTGGTAGAAGACTGCTTTTAGTAGAGAAACTCTTTCTTTAAACATGAAACAGTCGGGTCTTGGTAGAAGACTGCTTTTAGTAGAGAAACTCTTTCTTTTAAACATGAAACAGTCGAGTCTTGATAGAAGACTACTTTTAACAGAAAATATAGGATTTTCTGGAAGGAATTCAAATACTCTATAAACTTTTGTGAGATTATTTTGAGGAAAAACATGTATTTATATCAATGTCATTAAAATACTTATGAACTCACCAGCATTAAAATGTTGATCCTCTCTTTCAAAATAACTTGTATTCTCAGGTCGTCAGTAGACAGGTACACTCCGGGAGCTTTTGCGAAGTCAGCCTTGTACCGAGCTGCATCTTATGTTATTCTCTATATCTATTTTTGATGTTGTTGCTAAATGTAACCTATGTAAAAACTTATACTATTAATGCAATGGTTGTTGTACTTTGATTACTATACTGCACGTGTTGTGATACTTGACATGACGTCCTCCACCCCAGAACGTTTCCGCCGTTCCGGTTTTGGGGTGTGATAGACTCCATTATAGAGGCGAGCTCCGCATGCGAGGTTCAACACCCTTGCCTTGAGTCGCCTGACTTCTCAGCCCGACTTCATTATAGCGGCGAGCTCCGCATGCGAGGTCCAGTACCCTCGCCTCGAGTCGCCTGACTTCTCAGTCTGACTCCATTATAGCGGCACACTCCGCATACGAGGTTCAGTACCCTCGCCTCGAGTCGCCTGGCTTCTCAGCCCGACTCCATTATAGCGGCGAGCTCCGCATGCGAGGTCCAGTACCCTCGCCTCAAGTCCCCTGGCTTCTCAGCCCGACTCCATTATAGCGGCGAGCTCCGCATGCGAGGTTCAGTACCCTCACCTCGAGTCGCCTGGCTTCTCAGCCTGACTCCATTATAGCGGCACGCTCCGCATGCGAGGTTCAACACCCTTGCCTTGAGTCGCCTGACTTCTCAGCTCGGCTCCACCATAGCGGCATGCTCCGCCAACGAGGCTCAAAGGCTCGCAACCTGCCTATATGAATCCACGCGATGCTTTCCCGTGTGATGTACTTACGATCGCTGGCAGCCAAGCCCGATCCATTCCGCGCGATGCTCTCCTACGTAACTTCTCCATGATCGTTGGCTGCTAAGCCCAAGCTATTCTTCAAAGTTGCGCAACATAAGTCGCGCATCGTCGCGCACCATAAGTCGCGCATCAGAAGCCTATTCCACGCCTAACACCGCGCTCTCGGTGGTTCCTCTCTCATAATCATCATGGTTCTCTTGTGCTCCGACGATTGATGAAGCGTTTCCCACACTACATCCTGCTATAGCGAGGTTATTCTCCAACAAGAAGGTTATCAAGACAGCATCCCTGCAACCTACAACCTCTCAGCATCTCTGTTGCCTGGCCCTCGGTAATGGCCTCGTTGCGCAACCCTTACCTGTAGCCTCGTCACGTATCCCTCAGCATCTTCGTTGCCTGGCTCTCGGCAACAGCCTTGCTGCGCAACCCTTATCTTTAGCCTCGACGCGTATCCCTCAGCATCTTCACTACCTGGCTCTCGGCAACAGTCTCGTTGTATATTTCCTACCAATAGCCTCACTGCCTACCCTCAACAATTCTATTGTCTGGTTATCGGCAATAGTCTCACTGCGTGACCCTCGCTAGCAATTGCACAGCTCTTAGAATCTCTGCCACTTATATTATGGTCAACAACCTTACGGTTTATTGGTTTGACAACATAGTCTGATGCGGCTACCTATGCTACCCACATCAGACCGGGGGGAATCTAGCTAGGTGTAGCCCAAGCAAGAAATACCTTCAAGACGGTTATTAATACAGACTATGTATATGGATATCGGTGACATTCCATATGCGCATGACTACCACAACAATCGTGTCGAATAACAGTCTCAGAGACTGAATGGCGAGCTTACGCTCCTTAGCTACCCCGGCCCGACACTTTATCGACATCAGTGCCACGTAACACTCTTTAGCAGCCTCGGTCCGCATGATCACATCAACAGTTACGTCGCATCGCGTCGATCTACTCGCACTCAAATCAAAAAAGGAGTATCAAGTCAGTTCAAGCTGCATAAGTAATGCTTGGCTCTTCGCACAACCCCACGACTCTCGTGGGCGAGGTTCGGTCATTTCTCTTTTATTATTTATTGTATTGGTGCTTTATCTAGTCTGACCCGATTGGCAGCAACCCAATCACATCAGACTAGGGGGACTTGACGACGCACAATTTATTTGACTAAGTCCAGTCCGATATCATTGGCCGCATACCAATAACACCGGACTGGGGGGACTTGATGATGTATGGTCCATTAGCATGACCTAGATAGCTCTGGCACGCCAGCCTCGCCTGGCGCTCCTTTGCCAGCCTTGCTGGGGACTCCCTTGCCAGTATCGCTGGGGACTCTCCTGCTGGTTTATATGACTTAGTCCAGTCCAATGTCATTGGCCGCGTACCAATAACATCGGACTGGGGGGACTTGATGATGTATGGTCTATTAGCATGACCTAGGCCACTCTAGCGTGCCAGCCCTGCCTGGTGCGCTCCCGCTAGCATCGCTGGGGACTCCCGTGCCAGCCTTGCTGGGGACTCCCCCGCCGGCCCGTCCTGGCGCTCCCTGGCCTGGCTCTCCCTTGCCAGCCTTGCTGGGGACTCCCTTGCCAGCCTCGTTGGGGGACTCTCCTGCCGACCCAGCCTGGCGCTCCCTTACCAGCCTTTCCTGGTGCGCGCCCGCCAGCCTTGCTTCGTGCACGCTCGCCAGCCTTGCCCGACGCCTCCGGGCGGCCTCGCCCAGCTCCTTGCTAGCTGGGCCTGAATTGGGCTGGCCCAAGGCCTGACCTAATTCCCATTGACCTAATTGTCCCCTATATAATGAACAGTACCTCCTCCATGGAGAGGGATCTTCCCCTTGGCTCAGCCGCAGCCCTATACTCCGCCCGGGTGGCTCAGCCGCCACACGCCGCCGACAGCCACCATACACCACCACCAGCACCAAGATGGTCATCTCTAGCTAAAGAGAACCATCTCAGATCTACCAAATGATCTAACTTGACCGTCGGAGTCCGCTCCCGGGGCACAGTCCCTGGGGTGGCTCTAACGGACTTGTCTGTTGTAACCTTGCAGATCCGTCTCCGGCGTAGAAGCACCCGTTCAGGGCAAGTGGTCGGAGCCGAAGTCGCATCAATATATATATAATATATATATATATATATATATATATATAATCACCTCAAAGCTTCTTAAACTTTAATCTTATTAACGAACCAATTACAAAGATTATTTTGTAAATTTTTACTGGTTTCAATGGTTAAATTGCAAAGAAAAAATTAGGGATAATTTTTTTTATCATAGAACCAAAATATAAAGGGTTTTTTATAGATTTTTTTATATATAATGTCACCAATTAAATAGTAATAAAGACAAAAAAAGTAAATTAACTTAGCCAAACAAACATGTTAGTAATTTACGCCAAACTTAAATTTTAATTTAAACATCTCAAAATATTACATAAAATAGCTTGTAAAACCTTAAAACAGTTACCACTAAACAATTTACACACACACATAATAATAATAATAATAATAATAATAATAATAATAATAAATTCAAAAATCAAAAGAACAATTAGCACTAAAATCCCCTAAAATTAATTTTGTATTTCAATCAAGCCCCAACCGGAGCAGCTACCAGTGCTTTCACCTTAGGTGGACGTCCTCTTCCCGCTCGTTGACCACTCGCCGAAGGTGTAGCCTTCACAGTTGAGCTCCCTAGCTTCGGTGGACGTCCACGTTTCCGACCGCTTACGGACGGAGTAACTGTCATCGGAGCAAGAGGGTCTCTCGGTTTTGGTGGACGACCTCTGGGTTTTACCGGAGAAAGGACGGTATCTGGCGGAAGAGGTTCCTTGGCTTTCGGCGGCCGGCCTCGGCCTCGGCGGAGGGAGGCGTCTGCTTCGGGCTTAATGTAGTTGTTCTTAACCATGATGAGTTGACCGGCGGCTTTCATTTTGTGGAGGTGGTGGGTGAGGAGAGTTGAGTGCGCCGCCGGGAGGTTGCCGTAGGTTGCTTCGATGTGCTTCGAAATCGCCGATTTGTTAGCTCCGTTCTTCTTGTCTATAACCTCGATCGCAGCAACGATTAACTGAAATTTTGTGAAATTAAGACGAATTAATAGGTACCCAGATCATAAATCAAGCTTAATTTTGACCAAATCTGTTGAAATCAACGAATTTCGAGAAACAATCATGTATAGAACAAAACCCAAATAGATAATCAAGTTCAATTTCATGATCAGAAACCAAAATGCTGCATTTAGTTGGTAAAAAGAGTGTTAAACGAAAAATGAAGCTTAAATTTAGAAAATAAAACCAAATTTCATCAGATACAATCAAAAGGAAAGTGTGAGATTAAGTTCCATAAGCTTATAACTCATGAAGATTGTTGGATAATCAACAAAACCCAAGTTGACATTTGAAAATTAAGCATAAATACGATTTGCATCAGTAAAAATGCAACAGATGTTTCGATTATATAACCTCAGGGTACTGAGGAAGAGACAAGGGAGGAGCAGCAAGTTCTTGAGTAGCCATGGCGGTTTTGTTTGGGAAGAAAAAGACGGTGAATTGAAAGACTAGGGTGGGAAGGTATATAACAGAGTGAAAAGAGAAAATTAATTAAAAAAAATTAAAAAAAGTTAATTTAATACATTTTTTTTATAATTATTAAATATATTTTTAAGAACATGAACATATAATTGAATTGAAGAGTTAAATAAAATGAAAGTTTTAGTTGACATGATTAAATCCAATAATTATGGGATGTAACGTTGAAGTTCCAAGGATATATAGCCCAATGCTAATTGCACTTTTCAATTGTAATAACATAACATTTTAATTTTAAAATAAATGTTATGAATTAGGTTTTATAACAATAATTATTTTTTTTATCAGATTTATTTAACTATATAAAATTTAATGGATTATAGGGAAAATAAATAATAGATCTGAATGAAAAATAGAATCATAATGTAACAATTCCTTAAGAAATACATATTTAGTAGACCATCCATTATATCCACCACTAACTATTATAGTGGTGGGTGTCATATCAGTACTACTAACTACCACTAAACTTAAAGGATACTCACCACTATCACTCCACTCCACATCGTCTTTTTAATTAAAAAAAACAATAAAATTATATTTTTAAAAATAAAAATAATATTGAATTTTTTTTAACTAGTTTTTTATTAATTGTAAAAATAAAAATACAACTTCAAACCACATTACTTAATTAACCTAAAATTAAAAAAAAAACATTATATTACTTAAATAACCTATAGTTTAAAAAACAAACAAATATAAGTAGAAAAATTAATCTTCGTTAATGTTGAGTTGATACAAATGCTCTGTGACATCTTCTCGAAAATTGAAACACGTTTCACTGTTATGAATTTCAACAACTCGTGTTATAAATTCAGTCATTCTAAATACGAACTCTTCAATCGGGATGATGACGTCGTTTGGATCATACGTGCAGATCGTTCGACCTTGATCTTCAGTGATCATATTATGCATTATAATACATGCTTCGACCATTCGTTTAATTCTATCTTTATCCCAGAGTCGTGTAACGTATTTCATTACATGTCATGTCTGCTTGAGGACTCCAAATGCCATCTCGATATCCTTTCTCGTTGATTCTTGCCCTTTTGTGAACAACTTTGTCTTTTTACTTCGAGGAACCGAGTATGCTTTCATAAATGTTGAATAATCATGGTATATCCCATTATAAAGGTAGTAACCCTATTTTTACGAATGCTCGTTCACCGTGTACAACATATTATATACTTTCTCGGTCCAAATATCATTGAAAATAGGAGACTGGCCAAGAACATTAATGTCGATGCTAGACCCCACAACTCCAAAAAACACGAATGTCATATCCACAAATCCTGAGATGCAACAACTTCTAGTATTATAGTTGGCTCACCTATATCACCTCACGTAAATTGACCGCGCCACGCATTTGGACATTTTTCCCAAGCCACATCCGTACAATCTAGACTACCAAGCTTACCCGGAAATCCAGGCCTCTCTTCATCAGCCAAATATAATCTCTCAATATCACGTGGAGTAGGTTTACACAAAAATTCTTTGTGAAAAACCTCATACACACATGCACAAAACCGATCTACACAATCAATAGCGGTCCTCTCGGATACCTTTAAGTACTCGTCGGATGCGTTAAATGTTATACCGTATCCCAAAAATCTAAGCGCAGCCGCACATTTTTGTATACTAGAAAAACTTATTCTTCCTCTAGCATCGGGTTTTTGTTTGAAAAAATCATAACGGACCTCTAAAGCATTACTAATACGTAAAAATATAGCCTTATTTAGACGGAAATGACGTTCGAACTGTTAGTGTAAGGACTTCGTTTTCCTCTTGAAAGTTTCCTGTAAAGAAAAGGTTAGTAGCAAAACGTGGATCCCTTAAAAAGATTCGTCGTCTGTTCCCAGGGTACAACAACCTTAACAGTGGTGTACTACTACAGAGAAGGAGGAGAAAGAAGAGTATTTTCATTTGTGTGTTGAATGAAATGGTAAGTGCCCGAGTTTTCGGAGCTGCATTCGTGTCCGTAGGTCGCGCTCATGCACACGTTTGGTGTTTTTGTTCTACGAAATCCAAGATTTGCACCCCCCCCTGCGCGCGGGTAGGAATTGTAGTAAAACCATATACACAAGCTTGTAAGCCTTTCATGCATTCAAGCTTATAAACTTTGTTGAGTTTGGTCTTTCTACCAATGTGGGATTCATTCCCACATTCATCCCTTTTTGCTAAACTTATTCTCAAATACCCTTCTTTGAGTATCGATATCTCATTCACATATACTCCATTTTGGACATATAATATATCGTTTCGAAGTCCTCGTGGAGGAGACCACACAACCCACTTAGAGTTAGTTATATATACAACATATGTATATATTTATATATGTCCAAAGTTAGTAAAAATCTAAATATTTATACTAAATTTTCCAACACGAACGAGTCCTCATTGTAAAGACAATTATCGACAAAGTAATCACGTACCAATAAGTCATGTGCGGCTTGGCGATCACGATTGACGACCACTCTCGAACGCGCAACATTCGAACTTTCTTCATCGTGAAAGTGTTGCACAATGTTGAAGAAGGTCGAGATGAATTCTCCGTCATCATCTGAGTCAAAATCTTTAAAGAAATCTATGTGTTTTTTGGTTTAGAGAATAAGAGTGTAAAATTTGATGAAAAGTGAGGGTTTTATTGTGTTTATATAGGTATTGAGTTTGAAAAAAAAAACTACAAAAAATGACCGTTGAATCCAAGCCTCGAAATTCAATTGGTCGTCCGTCTCCGTCGTAGCCATCACGAATAGCCACAAGCACGATGACACATCAGGACGGTGTGCACGATCGTGATTCGTGGCCATGTATACCACGGATCGTTTCGTGCTTTGTATACCGTTTGACAATGTCCTACAATGAAACTAGAATTATATATAACAACAGTTAATGTTAGTAATATTTCATCAAATGGAATTAAAGAAATTTTATTATCATATTTAATGTATTATTAAATAGAAAACATAAAAGATTGTTGATTAACCCCAACTGATTCAGCCAAATATTATAAATTTAAAAGGTTTGTGTTCTCATGATTTTAACGAACTAAAAGGGAAAAGGGAAAATTTTAAAAATACATAAAAAAAACTTTTATGTAATTTATGTTTTCAAACTACCGAAAGAAAAATCATTTCTATTAATGTCACAAGTTGGAGGGGAAAAATGCTAATAGCTTGACAATTTTAATTTACTGCATAACTATTTTGATAATTGTAAGTGATATAAACACAAATAAAATATGATGAATTTTTTTTACTATTATGTTTTTGACATTGTAATTTGAAAAATTAACCCATTTATAAGAGAAAAATATGCTATATATTTGGATGATATTGAGACAGCTGGATAAAATTTTCAAAATAAATTATTTTAACAAAAGACATAAAAGTAGTATGCTATAATAACAATACAAGAATAACAAATAAAAATCATGTTGTTATTTCTTGCATTATGGCACAACGAGAACTTGAAGCAATACAAGAATAACAATCTACTCTAATAAATAAAAGTTTTTTTGCCACATGTCCTCTTCTCCTTCATTTGAACACATGACATTTTCTAAAATTTTTAAATTTTCTATTCCACTTGTCATTTTATTGTATTATTTTTTCATTTTATAAATTAAAATTTCACATTTAATATGTAAAGTAATATATATGTAAGGTATTTATTAGAAAGGTTTATATATGTAATGTATTCAATAAATTAAAGTCTCATTAATTTTAATAATTCAAAAAATTTCTCATTTTTCTTATAAATTCAAACTTTTCAAATTGTTAAAATTTTATATTTAATTGTTTTTAAATAAACCCATGTAATACATGTGATGAGATGTCAAGTCCACCAAGCAAATTACACCCTTTGTTTGCAAATAAAACGTAATATAATGGTAAAAAGGGGTATCGATCCTCGGGAAATGGTTGTATTCAATCACCAATGCAATCTAAAAGAACTATTGTAAATAAACTAACTAACTACAATTAAACTAAAAGGGGGGGGGGGGGGGTGTTATGATTGCTTGAAAACGAAAAGACTTGAATAACTAAAAACTTGCAATTAAGCAAGATAGTGAGATGCTCAAATGTTGGGAACAATTGGTTAACCAAGGCAATTCAACACAATGAACATTTGTGTGTTTATCATTAGGATTCAACATGAAGCTTATCATTCATCCCAAATTGGTTATAACAATCATGAAGCATGATATGCCAAGATTCCTCTTAGATAGTATGGAGGTTGGGGAAGCCCACAACACACCTTCTTAATCAAGATCAAGGGTTTAATTGAAGCAATGAACCCAAGAAGTTAATAGCCTTAAGAAAGAAGGAATCCCCAATTCCTAGAGGATGTCAATGCTTACACATCCATAAAGGAGCTATGATTCATAAACTAGAGATGATTTTTACCATCATAAAGCCCTTGTCTAAGTTAATTCAATGATTCAATGCAAAAACCAAAGAAATAAACTAACAATAGCTCATTCTGCGAAGCTCATGATCAAAGCATTAAACAAGCATAAGAAATATGATCTAGAACCATAAACATAAGATAATTGATAATCTAGCATGAATCCTTCAAAAACCCACAAACATTCAAAGGTTTTAACCAAAGTTAACCAATATAAAGAGTTTAGCCACTCATGGCAATAGAACAACAATCACAAAAGTCTAATTGCATAAAGAAACTACCAAAAATCTTGGAAAGATGAAGAGAAATGAGTCTTGAGCTTCAAAAATCGCCTCCTCTAGGTCTCCAATGGTGTCAAATCGAAGTTATGGCTGCTAGATCTGATCCCCCAAGGTTATGGTGAGCTAAATGACCAAAATGCCCAAACTGGGCAGTTGCGCGGGTACCCGCGCGACGAAAATTTCACCCGCGCAAATGTTGTTGTAATGCTATTGGTCCTTCATTCCACCACTCCACCCTTCCACTACCAAAGATTCCTTTGGTCCCCTCCATATCC